TTATAATGATAATAATGATAACGATAATAATGAACATAATAACTTTAGTAGCAGTTATAATCACCATACTATTAATGGCAAACATTACTAATGAAATATAGAACAACGCATATAATTAAACAAAATTATCGAATTACAAATTACGGACCAAACCTTAAATTGGTGTTGAAATCACAAAAATTACACTGTTTTCGCACACTTGGATGGTAATTAGCCAAAGTGAATGCATGTCTGACATTGTTCTCTCCTTGGCATTGTTCTAGAAAAGACAACTGAGCTTTTTTTTTCGTTACAAGAGAATGTGAATCTTCTTGTGTTATTTTAGAATCAATAAGTGACATGAAACGAAGGCAAACCCTGAGGGAGGAAAAAAAAATATATATATATATACATATTTATATATATATACATATTTATATATATATATATATGTGTGTGTGTGTGTGTGTGTGTGTGTGTGTGTGTGTGTGTGTGTGTGTGTGTGTGAGAATTAATGAGAAATTAGAAGATTTATGACTGACATTTCGCAGTTATAGATATAGATTAATTATCATACTCAAGATAAATCATTGAGTATCATACGTCATGAGTGTTTTCTCATTCATGAATAAAAATCAAAACGCCAATTATACTGTACTGTGAATCATTCATGTACTGTGTGATATATCTTCATTCACACAGAATTCTACAACCATTTTATTCGTATGAGGAGAAAAGGGTTATTAATAGCATCCCGACCGAACAGTCTCGCCTAAAATATGTCAAAGTAGGTTCATGCTACGAAAGACTTAACAAATATTTAATGAATTGTTAATATAATTAAAAAAAAAACAGTAAATTTATGTTGTTTTTCCTTTAGCCGTATTCCTTAAGCGAATTATCCTAAGGCGAATTATACTGATTAGCAACAGCAGTAATAAGTAAACTAATAAATGCAATCAGATGAAACACATACACATACACATACACATACACATACACATACACATACACATACACATACACATACACATACACATACACATACACATACACATACACATACACATACACATACACATACACATACACATACACATACACATACACATACACATACACATACACATACACATACACATACACATACACATACACATACACATACACATACACATACACATACACATACACATACACATACACATACACATACACATACACATACACATACACATACACATACACATACACATACACATACACATACACATACACATACACATACACATACACATACACATACACATACACATACACATACACATACACATACACATACACATACACATACACATACACATACACATACACATACACATACACATACACATACACATACACATACACATACACATACACATACACATACACATACACATACACATACACATACACATACACATACACATACACATACACATACACATACACATACACATACACATACACATACACATACACATACACATACACATACACATACACATACACATACACATACACATACACATACACATACACATACACATACACATACACATACACATACACATACACATACACATACACATACACATACACATACACATACACATACACATACACATACACATACACATACACATACACATACACATACACATACACATACACATACACATACACATACACATACACATACACATACACATACACATACACATACACATACACATACACATACACATACACATACACATACACATACACATACACATACACATACACATACACATACACATACACATACACATACACATACACATACACATACACATACACATACACATACACATACACATACACATACACATACACATACACATACACATACACATACACATACACATACACATACACATACACATACACATACACATACACATACACATACACATACACATACACATACACATACACATACACATACACATACA